CTGAATAGTTCCAACCCTCGTAAGTACTCTATGACAGTCACGCGGGTGGTCTCTCGAAGGACCGACATAACAGCAAGCCTCACCCCTCGGTAGCAGTTTAGACGGTCTCTGCCACCTACAGTAAGCCGGTCTTCACCATGCCATGTATAATTAGCCGTCTGAACGCCCGTGAACCGAATTGAATCGTACACTTTTTGTACAGACGACTTGAAAACACTGTAGCCCAATTCAGCCCAATTCCTTAGCCATAGGAGCACAATTCGACCCAAACGTGTATGATTCGATGCACGAATGCTACCCCCTCTAAGCAGCCAAAAACATGCTGCACAAAACACATGAATCGAGTCTACGCCGGTGTAGAATAGAATAACTGCATTGTACGATTCAACACCCCCTCTAAAGCGCTTGTTGGACGATTCAAAATCATACAGGGGGTGTCACATATACGAAAAACACTACAAGATTGCTCGTGCACGATTGCCACCCCCTCTAAAGCGCTTGTTGTACAATACAGATGGACGATTCGAAATCATACAGAGGGTGTCACATATACCAAAAACACTACACGATTACTCGTGCACGATTGCCACCCCCTCTAAAGCGCTTGTTGTACAATACAGATGGACGATTCGAAATCATACAGAGGGTGTCACATATACCAAAAACACTACACGATTACTCGTGCACGATTGCCACCCCCTCTAAAGCGCTTGTTGTACAATACAGATGGACGATTCGAAATCATACAGGGGGTGTCACATATACTAAAAACACTACACGATTGCTCGTGCACGATTGCCACCCCCTCTAAAGCGCTTGTTGTACAATACAGATGGACGATTCGAAATCATACAGGGGGTGTCACATATACTAAAAACACTACACGATTGCTCGTGCACGATTGCCACCCCCTCTAAAGCGCTTGTTGTACAATACAGATGGATGATTCAAATCATACAGGGGCGCGTCACATCAAAGAAACGCTTTACACGATTGCACGATTGCCCGATTGCCACCCCCTCTAAGCTGCTTGTTGCACGATACATTTTTTTGTACAAACATACAGGGCGGGAGATATCTTCTGCTCCTCGTGTCACCTGTGTCAGATTAGCTCATAAAAAGGGCGGACAGTGGCGACGGAGCATAAACGTGGCACATTTCATGGGCACGAGCTGTACGGCCGGGTTAGTGGACAGGGCGCGTCGTTCACGGGCGCCCTGTCATGAGTGCGTTAGTTGTAGCAACATAAAAATATTGTCACGACAAGTGGCTTGTGCGCGTTCTGGCAGCAAAAGTGATGGATGAAACACGTCAGGCGAAACGAAATACACTGTCGTGTCCCCGTGACGGGTGCGACTTCACCACTCCGCGCCCTGACCACATGGAACTACACGAGCTACGGCACAAAGGCATCCGTCCGTTTTCGTGTTATTTGGACGGCTGCCCGTACAAGGCCTACACGGCCTCCGCCCTGCAAATACATGAGATTACACACAGAGGCGAAAAGCCTCACGTGTGTGACATCTGCAGGCGCGCATTCGCGCAGTCAGGAACTCTCAATCGGCACATAAAGCTTCGACACCCAGGTGCTATCAGGCAGAAGAAAACGCACAAATGGACGAAAAAAATACGACCACTACTCTCATGTGACGTAGATGGATGCCCTTACACAACTCGGCGTCCTGACCACATGGAGCTACATCAGAAAAGGCACCGGGGTGAAAAAACGTTTTCATGTGATACGTGCGCGTACAGGGCTTTCACGAAAAGAAACTTGACCACACATCAGAACACGCACTTGAATGAAAAGCCTTTTGTGTGCGACTTCGAGGGGTGCGAGTATTCGTTCTCGCAGTCGAAGAGCCTCAAAAGGCACAAAAAAACGCACACCATCGAGGGGCAGCTTCGCCGCAAGAAGCAAGAGCACCGTCTGAACAAGCTACTCAAGGAGTGGGGCTACACAGTGGACTGCGAGACCACCATCAACGCCAAAGCTGGGCAATGCTTGACGGACACCCAGCGGCACTTCTCGAGACTCGACTTCAGGGTCTTGGAGTGCGTCAACGCCATATGCATCGTTGAGTGCGATGAGGACCAGCACTTCTGGTACAATCTATCGTGCGAATTGAGCCGGATGGTAGACGTTCGGGCTGCGCTGGCTCTAGCTGGGTACACTCTGCCGATCTACTGGATTCGCTACGCCCCCACGGGAACGTACATGGTCGGATCGGAGAAAATTAAGATGCCACGGGCTCAACGCGAGGAAGCGCTTAAGGAACACCTGGCAAAAGTCTGTTCTCTTGACTTAACGCCCGAAAAACAAGCATCTTTGCACTACATGTTTTACGATTTGGTTTCTTCAACCCAGGGCCCCGAGATACTGCTCGACTCGGACTTTCCGGATGCTATGAAGGCTGTTGTGTCATGGCATCGCTAGGATGTTGTGTGCACGGGGTAGAGGGCGCAAGCTGTGCACACATTTCAAGCCGTTGCGGCGCGGGCGGGCGTTTGCGGGGCCCTTGTTTGAGAGTTGACGCGGGCGGGCTGTAGGGATGGTTAGATGTATGGCCGCAGCACAGCCGCAGCGCACGCGCGCGCCGAGATGGGGAGGGAAACACGTGTACGGGGGGCAACGTCGCTGAAACGACCATATTTGTGGCATTTAAAAATCGAGATGTGCCTCGTTTCGAAGAAAAAAAATATCTGCGTGTGCGCATGGGCCAAGGGAACACACGTGCCAAGTTTCGAGGGCAGGCTCGCACATGGGGGCGAAATATGTAGCAAAATGATTACACTTTTAATACAGATACAGATACTGCTGCAAATAAAGTTTTGGCCATAACTTTTTAATGAATGATCTGATTTGACCCATTTTTTCGTCTATCTGCACCCTCGACCCTTCCCCGTGCGTTCGGTGGCCAGCGGGGGCGTTGTGGGCGCGTCGCGGCAAAGTTTGTAGTTGAGGCGGGCCGGAGGTGCGGGGATTTAAAGATAAAAAAAATCAAACCCGCTAAAAAATTCAAATTTGTGGCGGTTGCTTTTTTTTCGTGCGTGCGTGGGAGGGGTGATCAACGCGACATCACAGCGACGCTCTGGAAACAAACAGCGGGCGCGCACAGAGTCACGGGCGCCCTATGGGAAGCGATCGAGGGTGGCCACGCGTGCCGCGGGGATGTAAACGAGCGCGGCGGTCGTAAGACAAAGCTCTCAAAAAAGGCTCGTGGGCAGCTGCTGCCGTGTCAGATGAAAAACACGAACACCAAAAATCGCGACACCACAACGAGGTCCTGGAAATAAACAGCGAGCACCCGTGAAGTCACAGGCGGCTCATGGGAGGCGAAAGCGGACGGATACGCCTGCTGCGCGCATGTAGCATGGGCACGCGGTCGCCAGACAACTTTTGAAATGCGCGCGTGGTACGCTGTGGTGGGCCTACCGCGTAAAAAAACACGCACGCACACGCGACCGCACGCGGAGAGAGAAAACACCGCACGCCTCTCGCCCCCCCCCGCGTAGCTCTACGGTGACTCACCTGCTGCTCCTGTCACCTCCTGTAGCCGGTGATGCTGTCGTGCCCGTGAGAGGAAACGCGAGAAGGAAAAAGTGAGAGATGGGGGCGCTTCAACACGCAAAAAAAGGTTCGGGAAAATGTTTCGTTTCGGCAAAAATGCGGCGAAAATCACAAAAGTCGAGGTTCCGCACTGATGTGGGTTCCACCTCACCCAGGATCTTTACGCGCGCACTGCTGTTGACCTCGGGCGTCGCGCCAGCAGTACCTGGACTCGGACACGGGGCACGCATTACTCACAGATTCCCGAAAAATTGCTGCTGGAGGGACCGGGGGAATGACGGGGAATCACAAAAAAAGTCACCCGCCGCGTGATGTCAGCGAGAAGGCGGGCAGTTTCGATAGATCATCATCCCACCATGCTCTCGGTACAAAAGGCGGTCCATTTCGAAATATCATCACGCCGCCGTTCTCTCGGGGAGAAAATGGTGGCTGTATCAGCGGGTTGTTCAAATAAATTATCCGCCACACAGACGGAGCGGCAAAAAAAACACGCCCGTCATTTTCTGGTGGCGACACATGAAACGCCACAAAAGCTAGGTCCCGCCGCATCCAAGGATACGCACACACACACGCACCTTCCAGCGCAGCAACAGTGAGGGGTCTCTTTGTCTCGGCGGATGGGAAACCAAGCAGCGTTGCTCTCAAGTCGCAGACTCTAGACGACGCCTACACCGAGTATCGGAAGTTGTTTCCCTCTGCACGTGATGTTGAAATGCAGGACATTTACGTTCGCCGTGGCGCTGTCCCCGGGACGAGGGAGGGCATCTCTGTGTTTTACGATTGCGGGGGGAGTCACCATCAGGGAGAAAACACGTTTTTCGAGGGAAAAACTCGTCCCGTGTGGGGAGCTTTTTTGGCGGTGTGGTCCTCAGGACCTTTGTCCAGTATCGAAACGCCCGGCGACGTTCTGATTGACCTCCCGCTGACCGGGACTGAATTCGTCGAGTACGCTCAGGCGTTCGAAGCAGACTTGGCCGCGCTTGTCAGCCGGGAGAGCAAGCCGGGAATTGTGATTGAATACAACCTGTTTCCCGCCCTAACGAGGCAGTGAATTGGAGATGGAACTCGCTGGTACACTTTAAACAGAATGAGTCTTAGGTTCGGCGAAACGCCCGATACTTTGCAGACGAGCGGGCGTTACGATGTGGACTTGCTATCTTTTCGTTTGAAGAGGAGGACGTACTGCGCCGCTCTCCACTTCCCTCTGAGCTCGTGTTACATGAGGGCAAGACTGAGCAGTATCGGTACAAGTTTTGCGTTGCGTGCGACAAAGCAGTGACCGCACAATGCTCGAAGTGCGGGAAGCACTACTCTTGCTTTTCCCGGGGATGTGAGAAGAAGGCGTGGATGCTGCACAAGCCCGTCTGTGTGTCGGTAAACGAGGGGCGTGTGTAGGACGAACGGATCGATTGTAAAAGTATTGTTTTAAGCCAGCTGATCACAACAAACAACCTATATCAAAAACCAAGGTACCGGACCTCAACCGTAGGTGAAAATCCGACAATTGCGCGTGCTGCGGCAGTGCGCACCAAAAAAAAACACCAGACCTCAACCTTACGTGCAAACCGGGTAATCGCACGTGCTGCGGCAGTGCGCACCAAAAAAAAACACCAGACCTCAACCTTAGGTCGAACTCGGCCATCAACAAATACACAAAACACACACGTGTAAAATCCCCGCGTCTGAAACCCTGAGACAACCTGGCCCAGAAAAAAAAAATTCGAGCCAGCGCTGGACCGGCTCGATTGCAAAAAAAAAGCTCCGGCGGCGGTCTGTCGAACTGTGAAACCTGTACTAGCTAGCACACACAGAGGTCACTCTTCGTGCCGGCACGGTGAGTGTGCCGATGCTACTCGCCCCGCCTTGTTTCAAAATTGACCGAAATTAACTGTGAAACATTGTAGCCTACCCTGTATTTACCTCGGTCAAGCACACGTTTCAATCGAGACAATCCTTTAAGCTACGGATGGCGGTCCGCCACTGCACACGAACTTGGCCGACGCCACCGAGGCACCGCTTGTCGTCGGCAAGGCGTCCAGGCCCTGTGTTGAAGATGCGATGGGGGAGTGTGTTACGAGTCATTGGATTTTTTTGTGAGCTGGTTGTGTCAACAATGCCTTCACGCACCAAGACATCATGGTATTTCCAAACCGCGGATTGGTCGCTCCCGCTCGTGTCTGGGCGATGCCAACACGAGACACGCAAGGGGACGCGGTGTAAAAAGAGAGTCTCGTTCGGGTACCCGCTGCGTTCGGTGCACAACAAACTAAAGTACGAAGTCCAAATCAAGCCGTCGACAATCCCTGGAGCGGGCGAAGGGCTGTTCGCCACAAGAAGCATCCCCAAAGGATCGTGGCTGTGCCCGTACGTGGGCGAAGAAACCACCATGAGCTGCATACACAAACGATACCCGGGAACAATGACAGCACCCTACACGATGCAATTGCCGGGCGGCCTCGCGGTGGACTCCGCTTTGGTGAGAGGCATCGGTTCGCTGGCTAGCGGCAAGTTCAACGCCGACGGAACAGTCTCGAGTCTTGACCGGCACAACTGCGTGGCGAGAGTCCGCCCCGTCGGCGACGGCATCCCCGGGCCGTGGCTGAAAACCACTAAACACAGAAGACCCGGTGACGAGGTACTCCTTTGGTATGGGCAATCCTGTGCTCTGCAGCAAAACCATTCCACCAGCCGCGCATCACAGCACTATGTCGCATCGAACACCCTGCTCAACTCCGAGGAGTCGACAACGAATTGATTGTAAGTCCCCTGCACATCATAAATGAGGTCGTTCTTTCGTTTCTCGTCGTCGGTGGGGGGGTAGCGCTCGTTCCATTCAAGCATCGTATCCACCGATATTACCCTGGGCAGGTCAACCGAAAGTCCATACTGCGAAGCCATGTAGGCACAATTGCGTGCGACCTCCCCTCTACCCACGACGGGACAAAACAGCAGCGGTGATATCTTGCACCCCTGATGTTGCCTGAACTTTGCGGGTTCACCGAAAGCTTTGTTTCCGCGAATGCTGTTTAGACGGGTGTGCAATCCGACTAGGTTGTGGAGGTCGTCCTTTTGCCCAGGCGCTTCATTGTTATAAAGTTTGGCATCCTGGAAAGTTAATATTGCGTATAGAGAAACACAATGATTCATCATGAAATATACAACGCCTTCAAGAATTGCGGCAAACAATAGATACAAAGACGCCGCAAAATTGACACGTCCTCTCTCTTCTACACACTGACCAAGCGCTGTATTCAAGAGAGAGGGGTCGGTCACATTCTGAGGACGGATGATGAGCAGTACTCTTCGCAGGCAGTTCACTCAGCAAGGAAGAAACTTCCTGCCGGTGCCTTCAAAGAGGTGAACCAATATTTGCTGCGAGGAACACACGAATAACGTGTTTTTGCCGTGGATGGGTCCAAAGTGCATGTCCACCCTTCCTTTCTGAACTCCGGGTACAAGACCAGAACGAACGATCAGCCCGTTCCACGTCCTGCCACACGACCACTCGTCATGCTATCTTCGATGGTGGACACTAAACTTTTCAATGAACGGAAAGCAGACGTATCAATGCTCCGAAGTGTGCACCAAGGTGACACTCTGGTATTTGACAAAGAATACTACTCCAGAGGTTTACTACGTAATGTTCACGATTCGAAAGCTTTTTTTTGGTGTGTGGAGACTAAAAATAAACGCGTTCAAGGGTACCAGGTCTTTCTTCAACTCTTGGAGAACGGAAGCAACGTGCATCATTTCTGGAGTAAAGGCCCGGCTCGTAAAGTGCTTTATCTGTCTAACGAACGACCACTCACTGTCTCGAGCAGATGTCAAGTCGATGTATGCTTCGAGGTGGAAGGATCTCAAGCTAGAGAAAGCCCATGCTAGAACCCCGGCACTTTATACTCCGGAAGTGGAGGCGAGAGTATTTCTGGACACAATTACGCTGAGGCTCCAAACGAAGAACAAAGAACCATCTTACATTTACACGCTGGACACATATGTAACGCATATCCGGCGGAACATCAAAAACGTTTCAAGGCACATGAGACCTAACCTGACTTCGGAACCAAACAAGAATTGTCAAAAGCAACTACGATACCCCACACGGATAAAATCCTGGCCGTGCCCCCCCTTCCCCCCCCCGCCTCCCCCCTCTCGCCCCCCCGAGAGGGTAAAGAAAAATCAATAAGTATAGGCATCGAGACCTTGCACAATAGCTCACAAACACCCTGCCACTTAATTAGGATGGTGCGGCCCTCTCCTGGCACATCATCGCGCGAAAAGAAAAAAAAGAAAAAGGTAACCCCCAAGGATGAGGCGCCCAAGGAAGTTCCGGATTTCCTAGAAACTATCGGGAGCTTGTATCCTGAGAAGTATCTCACCAAAGACATACCTCGGAAGTACAAGGGTACATATTGCTGCCAGCTCTTCTCGAGGGTCAAGTTCGCAAGAAACATGTCTCAAAAACTCCGGACGAGGACTGTGAGTGTTGGATTTCGGGCGTCTACAACGGATGGAGAACGCGAAGCTTTGCAGGAGAAGAGAAGAGCGATACGGCAGTGGACCACCTTTCCCGTGAAAGGGTCCTGGGTTCTCTTTTCGCTAACTTCATCTTCACGGAACGCCTACAAAACGGCTCAGCGGTACCAGAGCCAGACAGAAGCTTCTTCAAGTCCTGTCTGTCGGCGTGCATAAACAGCACGGGAGGGGGCACCCTCAACGCCGACTTCGACCATTTTTGCGCTCTGACTGGATTACAGAGGCTTCCGCCTCCGCAAAACCTCAATCTGGACCAGCAAAGAGAATTTGAGGCGGGGAGTATGGCCACTTCAACGTCCACACGTTTCGAACACCCTGTCTACCTTCCTCTTTCACAATGTTTTCTGCGTTCCTAACAGCATTTCGCATCTCGAACGATCGGGGCTCCCGCCCATCGGGGGGCGGGAGAGCCGATTGGGACCCTACGTAGAAAATACCCCGATTTTAAAATATTTTGACAAACTGGGAAAACCCCAAGAACGCCCTAGACTGCCAAATAAGAGCCGCTTGGTACCCTTCGCAATCAATTTGTACCAACTTTCAGTTTTGAAGAGAAATGGCAGAAACCCCAAGAAAGCCCTAGACTACCAAATAAAACACCCGCAACAAAAAGGTAACCGTATGATTTTTACTGTAGTTCCAGCGAAAGAAGTCACTCCTGTAGTTTCTTTCCAGTCACGGTAGCCCTGCCGACTGCCCTCAGTCCCTAAGTGCACTAATAGAGCTACTTCGAATGCCCTCGACACCATTACACGGCCCCATTTGAGCAGTCACCACACTGGTCTGCCGAGGTTGTCACCCATCCCTCCTGACACGCGCACCCAAACGTACAGAACCTGCACCTGCAGACATTAATGACCTTGTTGCTGCTGCCTTTACGGTCGGCCATACTTTTCTGCTTGACCTTGGGCATCATTACCTCGTACGACTTGGTGTTGGGCTCGGCATTTACTGCTCTTTCTTCTTTGTCGTACTTCTTGTGAGTACATGTTTCGCAACAAATAAGCTCCTCCACAACAAGCTTGAGGGCACGCGTTTTCGCCACACGACCGTCTCTCTTTAGTCCATTGGCCTGTGCAGCGATAGCCACTGACATCCAGAGGGAGCCCACTGCAAGCAACAAACCCTCCCCCAAGGCCGCGGTAAGCTGCAAGAAAAGGAACGCGAAGCCAATGGTATTCAAGATAACGAGGTTGAAAAACGCTTTCGATCGCGACGCCCAACCTTCCCACCCGAACTTCCAGGCGTGTGTCCAACATATTCGACCAGGGTGAATTGACCTTCCGTGGACGATCGCCTCCCAGTTATTGCGGAAAGCCCTATACAAATTGGGTCCGTAGGGCGTACGCCGTTCCCAACTAACGTTATGTTTCATGAGAGTCCAGAAGACAACGCCAAACCATGCTACAAAGTCAGACCCCCCAATGTCACCCACGTTACAGGTTCTTCCGCTGCCTGAATCTGTCGGCTCCGGAATACTCTGGTAGCTGAGATACAGCAAGTCGTTAAACATGGTAGACATGTCAATCAAGGACCACGCACCGCGGGCAAGGGTGGGCGCCGACCCACCAACAGCGAAAAACAGAATAGCGTAGGTCGTGGTTTCAACTTCGATTAAGCCAGACGGTACGAGCGTTGCGAGTGCTACAAGAGCCGACCCAAAGAGGGTAAACAATGCTGCCGTCCTTGCGTACGTCACCAGAATGCTAGCGCGTGTGTCTCCAATCCATGGGTCATAGATGCTGCACGCGAAACCCAGTGTGCCAAGGAGAACCTCGATGACGTCAATGTTGAACATTCTGCCTAGCAATGGCGATCTGAAGACAGAAATATCTGGGCAGGACGCACAGCCTGAGCGGTGTGTGTAGTTTCTGTACAACAGGTAGGAATCGCGGCAACAAGATTTCAGGGCAAGGGGACGGACAGGGCAAAGTTCGGTCAGAATCCAAGTGCGAATCGGTGAGGTGTCCAGCGAGGTGCATCAAGCACTGGAATATATTTTCCGTATTTCTGGCAAGCAAGAATCCCATATCCGAAACGAAATTCTAACGCATTTTCGCGTAATCCATCGGACCTTGCAGATAAGGTATTAGTCCTGCAGTGTATGCTTTCTCGAGAATATCTCCCGAGTGCTCGTTAGAATTCGCTTTGTTTTCGAGCTCAGGTTGTCCGTACGGGGCGGGGGGTAGAAGAGCAGCACGGATTATTTTGGGCTGGTCGTTCAAGGTAATCTATACCGTAAGTTTGAAACAATTGTTTTTCGAAACCTAAACCCGATGCACCCGATCACATACCCCGTGCATGGGGCGCGCAAAGGTCACAAGGTAGGCAGCGATCTACTCGGCTCCGTTGTCAAGCTTGTGTGTTCCTCCGCTGACCATATGGGGTAGTAGGGAGTGAGTCAATGAAATGTTTCGTGAGCACGAAGAACGACATTCGGGAAAATTAAGCGCGAAGGTGGAGGAAAATGGTCAGAAGATGTCACTTGCTGTGGGGGAAATGCACAAAAAGTCACACCATTCAGCAGCGTTGGTTAGTTTACTCCGAAATAACCTGTGGTAGGCTTAACCCTCTTCGAGGGCGTGGCAGCGGAACACTTACGGCGATTGCGTCGCCGGCTGATAATCGAAAGATCCACCCACAAGTCCACAGGTTGGACACAGCTAGACATGAAAGCCTCCCACCCGGCTGCCAGGAAAGCCAGGTAGTACGCAGAGGCGGTTCGCGCAGAGAGACATGAGAGATGGGGGGGGATTGGCACGCGAAACCCCCGCCGCCACGGCTTCCCGGGGCTGTCCAGTGTGTGAGGGCCACCCAACACACGCTCACCCAACACACAGATGACATGCACACCTAAAACCGTCTGCTTTAACCCAAGTTTTTGTTTCCTGGAAGGAGTGTTGTGAGCAACTTACTGAATGTTGCAGAGTACTGAACCTTCATACCCTCGGGCACTCGCCTAGGTCAGCGCCGCGGGCATCGATCGCGACACTGACTGCTGAATGGGACTCCTTGGACCTATATACAGCAGCCTCTGTCGCGGTACATAGTTTGGAATTGGGAGCGCCGAACGTGCCAAACGCGGGCAGGGCAAATTGTGAAACATCACCAACAAGCAGCCAACGCCGCCGACTGTCAACGGAATCGAAGAGCAACAGGTGCACTGAGGAGTGTGGCACGCAAGCTTTCCTGGGCACTCTTTGGTTTCCCGATGGGTGGACTGTATCGAAATCGGTGGCGAAAGGATCGGCGCGAACGTAGGAACGAACACGGGAGAAAAGCAAGAATCCCCTCCCGAAGCAACTCTGGGGCCTCGTGTATCATATGTGTAAGGATTGTCGATATTGACAGATTTGTGAAAAAGAAACCCAATAAATTACAGGAGTAGACTAGTGGGAACGGGCAAGGGGAGTGGTGCACCTGGCACAGCTCCGCAACAACTCAAGACATGTCCCCTTTCCCGGTCACGATCAGGGTTGCACAAACACCTCCTTTCGGTTTATTTGTGACACAACCACAACGGAGCAAGACCAAGTGAGTGGCCATATAGTGCAAGTCCGAAAACCCGTCCATGTTTTTTGTTCCGAAAGCCGTCGTACGTATCCCGACTCGTACTGTAGACACCATTCCTACACAAAGGGCTTGGTGTTGTCGGGTGAAAGGGGGCGACATACGTGGTATCAGTCTATCTGACGAAGGCGATACTGACCCATGTTTCGTGCTTGATTTGGCAATAATTTCGGAACGTAGGCGTTTCGGGGATTTCGAGCCTCGGTGAGGGTTGCTTACACCAAGTTCACAAGTGCTTTACCTGTCTGGCATACTCCAGGCGTCGATGTGGCCGCCTAAAGAACCGGCACATCAGGGAGACTTCAAATCTGAAAAAATCGACGGGCAAACGCCAGAATGCGGTATACCGCCTGGTTCCGAGGCCCACGAGAGGTACATAAAAACAAACTCACGTACATACGGAGTTTGAGAACCTTTGCCGAAACTGATTGGCCCTCTTCGCTCTGTACCACCGTATTTTGGCACCAGGTGACGCGGTATATTGACAAAGGCTAAGAGGGGCGCGGACAGCAGGTGAGACGTTTAGCAGGAGAGGCGAAGAGAAGTTACACCTACCCGTTGTTTTTGTTGCACAGACGAGTGTCGCAAAGGCATTCCCACCGCCAGCACGTCTGCTGCAGTGGTGTAGTGTTTCTCTCTGAAAAAATTGGAACTATTTCGGTTGCCTCGGTAAACTCACTGACACGAGCCAAGCGTCCTGTCAGGCCAGGGTACCGTGATAGTACGAGCCATCGCATAGTAGTGCGCGATCGACTTTTCAAAACATTTCAAACTGCCTGTTTTTATCGCACATGTGTGCCATAGGACCGACACGTGCGATAGCACCGACTCCTCTGCGGAAACTGAAACATTAACAGTCGTATGTTTCGGTTCTGCTTTTTTATGGCGCGCACCCCTGTGCAATAACGACGGCCTGTCTGGTGCGGTCTTGATTACATCACGTCGACGACTTCCACTGGCGCTGCTGTGAACGCACACCCCAAAAAACTCCGACATGTGCGAGTCTGAAGAAATCTAGAGCGTCCTTCCTTGCCTGTAACCAATCCGGTGCCTACTACAGCAGTCGAGGTCGACGATGAACCGGTATCGACGAACAGCAATGGTAGCGTCGGGTGTGGCGTTGGACCCACCCACAAAACCCCACGCAACCCTAACTGAAAATGGGTGGTTGGCGTTTTAAAGTCGGATTGATATCGCACAGCAGTAGTATGCTATAGCACCAGTGTGCGATACGTAGCACCGAACGTATATTAGTCTAATGACTGCTTGAAGGCGGGGGCAACAACCTATCTGGGAGTTGACTGGCTTCGACAGAGCGAACGAGCACCCGGGAATCATACAAAGGACACGCCAGACCAGTAGGAAGGCCCTGGACACGAAAAAAGTCGTTGGTTCTCGGGTCGGGCGGCAGTGCAGGCTTCTTTCTGCACGCAAATCACGCGGTCTACCTCCAAGCTCTCTTTCTAAATTCCTTTTAAATTCCAAGTCAAATATTTCCACCAGTCCAAAATGATGTACATATGCATGAGTCAAAACAACCAAAACGGCGGACGCTCAAATAAGGTCTAGCTTGGGTCGGTAGCGATTCTGAGACATGATATCACTGCTGTAGAGAACTATAGTCTAGCACCGGCATGTGTGCGCTGGCAACCTCAAATCCACTGTTGTCGGGGTGATATGTTCGGGGTTCGTACAATAGCAGCGGCCTCCCAACTCCGCAAATTGACCGACACCCCGTGTCTCCCACTGCTGTGCTCGCCGCCACGGACCCCAAGCTCCTGAATTGCGCCTTAGCTACTGCTGAGGACCGGAAGTTCAGCAGGTTGCGGCCCGTGGCGGCGAGCACAGCCGTGAACAACGTACGTTTGTAGGAACGTCGCCAAATTTGCGGACAGTCCCGTCGCTGCTGCGACGTACGTACATGCGATATCTCCGCTCCAGCAGCAGATCTCAGCATGCCAACACACACATACCGATGCTATGAGTGTCTTCTAGCGAACCATGCCAATGTCTATGTAACTACTCACATGTATTTTACCACTTGTTGTGAGAGCGGAAACATATCAATAAAAATTGCACCTCATCGGCGGCAGCGCTTATCAATGCTCGACAGTAGCAGGCAGTGCCACGCCAACTCTCCGGGAAAAAAACGACCCCAAAGTCCGTCAAAGCCAGCGGTTTCTGGATTGGGGATTTGACTGAGATCTCCGACAGACCAACGGGGCTGACTGTGAACCTGGCGAGAGCCCACTGCGGACGAGCGTGATCGACAATCAGCAAATTCTCGGCAGTTCCTTCTGCCGTTTTCCAACTTGAGCTGGATTCCTTATGCCTTTATCGAGGTTAAAATTCGACCTTGCGGACCTTGCGGCGTTTATACCTTGTCCAAACTGCGGACAACCTTTGCTGAGTGCAAAGATTGGGTGACCTAAATGGGTCGTGGGTTTGCGACACCTTGTGGGGAAAGAGAGGTTGTGCAAGGTGTGGCCAAGGTTATTTTGGTCAACGCCTCTGGGCAACGGGGGGGTTCGCACCCGTGGCGTTCCGCCCGCCGCCATGAAAGTTGAAAGTTCGCTGTATCGGTCATCACAAATGTGAAATATTAGACACCCGGGACTCACCGCGCCTGATGTGCCCAGCAGTCAGTGCCGTGGGAAGAAGTTGGAGACAACTCGGGACGGTGCGGAGTACGGGGCGCGTGTGGGTGGGGTTGTGGGTGTTGCGAGTGCCTCCGCCCAATTCGGCCAACTTCTGGGAACGCTCTTTTAGTTCCTGACCTGTTCCTGACCGGCCGTTCTGGGAACGCGGGGAACACTCCTCTAGTTTTTGGGAAATGGACAAAAGTGGGTATACCCACCCCTTTCTCGGACAAAAG